GGGGCTAACAGTAGGATGGGCGCGGTAGCTCACACATGTAATTCCAGCACTTTGGGAGGCTGAGGCAGGTGGATCACCTGAGGTCAGGAGTTCCAGAGCAGCCTGACCAAGATGGTGAAATCCTATCTCTACTAAAAATACAAAAATTAGCTGGGCATGACAGCGGGCACCTGTAATCCCAGCTACTCAAGAGGCTGAGGCAGGAGAATCGCTTAAATCTGGGAGGTGGAGGTTGCAGTGAGACAAGATCGCGCCATTGCATTCCAGCTGAGCAAGAGAGTGAGACACCATTTCAAAAAAAATAGAGTGGTGCTAACGGTACCTACCCCATGGGGCTGCTGGGAGACTCAAACAAGGGCGTATCCACAGGACCTCCCCCGCCCATTCTGTGGTGGCACATAGTAGACACACTGTTCTTTGGGTTGTTGTTATTATAACTGGGGAAGAGTCGCAAGGAGTAGGGGATGGAACGAGCCCTAGGGAGTAGCCTTTCAGAATGAGCCCGGCATTCAGGTGCCCACCGGCTTCTTGCTGGGGGGAGGAAGGATGCACCAGCCTGCCCGCCTGCTCAGTTACCTCCTGCCGCATCACCTCCAGGCTGGCCTCGCCCTTCAGCAGCCTCTGCCGGAGGCCCAGGGTCTCCCGTCGGCTCTCCTTCTCTGTCCGCTCACCCAGCGCCAGGCGGCCCTGCAGCTCTGCCAGCTCTCGGCCCAGCCGGGTGTTCTCACTGTCCAGCATCTTCATCTGCGAGAGAGCGGGAATGGCAGTGGGTTCAGCTCTGCCCCTGTACCCCCAGTCCTGGCCCCAGAGCACTTGGGACCTACTGCTCTTGGGACACATGCATCAAATGCCACCCCATACCGACTGGGAGCCAGCCTCTAGATAACCACACTGAGCTCGCGTGATGCCAGGCACTTGGGCACCAGTAGCCTGTTTACCATTTAATCAATGGACCAAAACTACCTTTCATGACGGGGTGGGTATAATAGGAGGGCTCAGCCCTTAGCAGGCTAGGAGCTCACAGGCCGGAACCACACCTGGGTTTCTTTTACCTCTGCAACGGCGATGAACATTTTTGGAGCACTTGCCACCTGTGTCCAGGCCTGTTCTAAGCACTGCAGTTACATTAACTCATTTAATCTCCGTACAATGCTATATGACGTAGGTAGTAACGTTATCCCTATTTAACAGATGAGAAAACTGAGCCTCAAAGAGTCAAAGTTACCTGCCCAAGGTCACACAGCCCACACACAGCAGACTGGGATTCAATCTGAGACAAGCACAATGTTCTAAGCCCCTATGTCTCCACAGGGCAGGTGGGGGTACTGCCTGCCTACCCCATGGTGCTACAGTAGGGGTAACACGAGATGCCATAGCATGCAATGCACCCAGCAAGAGCCTGGCACGCACACGTTAGTTCCTTTCAGGAGTCTTGTGATTTCTCAGGAAGGGGCCTGGGTGAAGGGGGCTGTGGTGAGAGGTGGAGAGGATTTGTTCTCTTTTTTTTTTTTTTTTTTGAGACGGAGTCTCACTCTGTCACCCAGGCTGGAGTGCAATGGCGTGATCTTGGCTCACTGCAGCCTCCACCTCCTGGGTTCAAGTAATTCTCCTGCCTCAGCCTCCCAAGTAGCTGGGATTACAGGTGTGTGCCATCAGGCCCAGCTAATGTTTTGTATCTTTAGCAGAGATGGGGTTTCACCATGTTGGCCAGGCCAGTCTTGAACTCCTGACCACCTTGGCCTCCCAAAGTGGTGGGATTACAGGCGTGAGCCACCGATCCTGGTCGAGGATTTGTTCTTTCGGCTCTGTTATCTCTGGGTATCACAGTATATCTGACTATCCAGTTGTAATATGACTTTTTTTAATTAAAAAAAATTTGGTGGAGGGCCAGGCATGGTGGCTTGCACATATAATCCCACCACTTTGGGAGGCTGAGGTGGGTGGATCACCTTACATCAGGAGTTCCAGACCAGCCTGACCAACATAGTGAACCCTCTCTGTACTAAAAATACAAAAAAAATTCAGCCAGGCTTGGTGGCATGCATCTGTAATCCCAGCTACTCGGGAGGCTGAGGCAGGAGAAGCACTTGAACCCAGGAGGTGAAGGTTGCAGTGAGCTGAGATTGTGCCATTGCACTCCAGCCTGGGCAACAAGAGTGAAACTCCATCTCAAATAAATAAAATAAAAATAATTTTGCAAACTTCTTTTAGAGACAGGGTCTTGCTTTGTAGTGCAGGCTGCAGTACAGTGGTGCGATCATCGCTCCATGCAGCCTTGACTTCCAGGCTCAAGATTTACTCCCACCTCAGACTCCCGAGTAACTGGGACTCCAGGAGCATGCCACCACACTGAGCTATTTTTTAAATTTTTTTGTAGAGACTGGTTCTCACTATGTTGCCTGGGCTAGTCTTGAACTCCTAGGTTCAAGCAATCCTCCCACCTTGGCTTCTCAAAGTGTGAGATTAAAGGCATGGGCCACCACAGCTGGCTAATTCCTTGTATTTTTAGTACAGACAGATTTTCACCATGTTGCCCAGGCTGGTCTCAGAAACTCCCGGGCTCAAGTGATCCACCAGCCTCTGCCTCCCAAAGTGCTGTGATCACAGGTGTGAACCACTGCACCTGGCCTGGCTGTGGTATCTCTGGATGAGGCAGCACCTAGGATGAATGAGGCCACCTCCTGTTCTTCGCGTCTGCTAGAGTGAGAAGCCTGAGCCCACAGTGTCCAGGGCAGTACCCCATGGACAGCAGGTGCTTGTTCAATGCATGCTGCTGTTGACGAGTTTGGATCATCTAATTCATGGGTCAGCAAACTACAGCCCACAGGCCAAATTTGGCCAGTCTCCTGTTTCTATAAAGGTATGAGCTAAGGATTTTTTTTTTTTTTTTAAACATTTTTAAATAGTTGAAAATGAATCATTTCTGGCCGGATGCGGTGGCTCACACCTGTAATCCCAGCACTTTGGGAGGCCGAGGCAGGTGGATCATGAGGTCAGGAGTTCAAGACCAGCCTGGCCAACATAGTGAAACCCTGTCTCTACTAAAAATACAAAAATCAGCTGGATGTGGTGGCAGGTGCCTGTAGTCCCAGCTAATCAGGAGGCTGAGGTGGGAGAATCATTTGAACCCTGGAGGCGGAGTTTGCAGTGAGCTGAGATTGCGCCATTGCACTCCAGCCTGGGCAACAAAAGTGAAACTCCATCTCAAAAAGGAGAAGAGGAGAGGAGGGGAGGGGAGGAGGGGAGGGCAGGGGAGAGGAGAGGAGGGGAGGGGAGGAGAGGAGAGGGATTATGTCTAAAGGAAGAACAAAATTTCTTGACAGAAAATTCACATTTCAGTGTCCCTAAACAAAGTTTGGAACCCACACCCATCCGTCCATGCCGTTTGGGACTGCTTTCTCACCACCCCAGCAGAGTCAAGTAGTTGCAACAGAGACTGGGTGGCCTGTTAAGCTGGAAAAATTTATCATTTGGGCTCTTCACAGAACACAATTTGCCAACCCCTGACCTAGTTCATGAAATCTGTAGCTTTTGTTGTTGGCAGATTCCTTTGGGAACTTGACAAGGACGCCAGCTCCTCCCCTTGGAGAAGTGTGAGCCTGAGTGTGCACACAAATGCACGCAGACTTTCCCACAGTTTCAGGGATTCCAGGACTCCTCAAAGCCCATTCATTCACACCAAGGCTACGTGAGAGGGCTGGTCATAGTTCAAGCCCCTGGTTTTACATATGGGGAAATACAATTCCAGAAAGGGGGAGCTACCGGCGGCCCTGGGGCACATAGCAAGCCCGGGATAAGGGGTGGCACAGGGAGCGTACCTGCCGCCGGAGCTCCTGCAGCTCCCGCCGAGCCTCCAGCCGTGAGCGCTCCACCTCCTGCAGCCCCGTCCGCAGCTCCCCAGCCTCCTTGCCCACAGCTGTCCGTGCCTCCTCTAGGAGTGCCAGCTTCTGCTCCTTGTCCTCGTTGGCAAGCTTCAGGCTGGAGAGGGCAGAGGTCAGAGGCTGCCCTGGGTCCTGGGAGTAGCCAGTGGCTCTACACAAAAGCCACCTCCTCCAGTTCCTGGGGTGGGTCAGGCACTGCCTGCCCATGCAGCCCCTCCCGAGAGCTGAGCCCCCCAGGGCTGGGACCCAGGCCCTCGGCTGGGAGGGGTAGACCAGTGACTCCAGGAGGGGGCCTGGTCTCCAGGGTGATGACGGCAGGTGGGTCTGAGTCTGGACCCAACTCCGCCCGCTGCTCCTCTGCGTTGTTCCCCAATCAATTGGGAGGAAACCCTCCTAAAATGACCCAGGTGCCAGGCTCTGCTTAGGAGACAGAGAATCCCTATCTGGGCAATTTCCCAGGAACTTTTGGGGTGAAGTTAGGTTTCAGGGATGGGATTCCGTGAGGACTTGGGGCTGGTCACCCCACTCCCCGTGACGCCTCACCTGATGCGCTCGCCCTCTGCCTTCTTCACAGCAGCCCGCAGCTCCTCATTGGAGCGCCGCAGGGCCTCGCGCTCCTTGGTGCCCTCGCCCAAGCTGCGCCGCAGCTCGCCCGCCTCCTGGCGCTGCACCTCACGGCCCTCCTGGCTCTCACGCAGCTTGCGCTGGGCCTCCAGCAGCTCCCGCCGCAGCCCGTCGCGGGCATCTTCCAGAAGACGCAGCTGGGTCCGAAGCTCTTCTGCCTGTGCGCACAGCACATGTCCCCAGGCCGGCAGTCAGGGTGCCCCCTCAAACTGGGTCTTGTACCCCAGATCCCCGGCCCCAGGGAGCCTGCCCCAACCCTCTGCAGTGCTCGGACCGCAGGCTGTGAGTTATCATTTGAGCAAGGCATGCTGTAATCAGTAACGTTTTGACCGAAGTCACCGTCAGGATTGTTCTGTGTACAGCAGCAAGAGGGCAGGGACCCCACTCGCCCCTCCCTGAGGCCAAATCTCACCTGCACATGACAGGTGCTTCATCAGTGCCTGCTGCCTCCTTTGTAAGTTGCAATTTATTGGTCTCAAATGCAGGGAGGAATTTTACACTCTCCCGGGTCCTACAGGACCAGCCCCCAGGCACCCAGCGCCATTTAGGGTGTACCGCTTGGAAGGCAGGGGGCACCTGCTCACCTCGCGAAGACAGGAGTCTCGCTGTTTGCCCAGGTCTCGGCCCTGCTCTTGCAGCCTCCTCACCTCCTGGGCGTGGGCCGCAGCAGCCTCCTCCATCTGGGCCCGTAGGTCCCGCAGCTCGGATGTCAGAGCGTTCACGGTGCTCTGGGACAGAGGGGCTCCTCAGAGTTGGTCCTGCTGTGTCCCCCAGCCCCCAGCTGCTCCCAACTCACTGACTGTACTGTCCACTTTCAGCTCCAAACATAGCCCCTCCTGTTGGCCTCCTGGACCCTCTGCTGACCCCTGGATGCACTGTGAATGCTGTCCGTGTGGCCAGGCTCTCCCTCAGGCCAAAAAGATTCTCCAGGACAGGGCTGAGCCACCTCCCTCAGATAGGGGCTCCCAAAGGAAGGGCTGAACCTCCTCTCCCACAGCCTGCAAGCTTCTCCGGGATGGGGGGGGCCCTGCCTCCCTACGGTGGGGGCTCCTCAGCCAGTGCCTCTCCATGAGATGGACACCAGCTGCCCAGCCACCCTACCCGGTCCTGCTCCTGCCGGCTCTGGGCGTCCCGTTTCTGCCGCTCCATCTCCAGGGAGATGGTGGCCAGGCTGTGCCGTGTGCCCATCAACTTCTCTGACAGCGCTGTCTTCTCAGACTCCTTCAGAGACAAAGCCTGGGCAGAGGCAGAGGACAAAGGGCTTGGGGGATGGGCTGGTCCTGGGGAGATGCTCGGACTTCCTCCTGCCTGGGAAGTGTGGCTACTGGGGACTCAGAGGCCTGAGTGTGCCACCGCAGGTGGACCCAGGGCAGAGGCAGCCCTGGGAAAGGGCATAACAGCAGTCACAAGAACCCAGGCATGGATACCACCCACAGAGCTTACCAACCCACCACAACACCCCTACAACAGAGTCTTCCATTTTTCCCTTTTTTTTTTTTTTTTTTGAGATGAAATTTTTCTTTTGTCACCCAGCCTGGAGTGCAATGGTGCGATCTTGGCTCACTGCAACCTCCGCCTCCCGGGTTCAAGCGATTCTCCTGCCTCAGCCTCCCGAGTAGCTGGGATTACAGGCATGCACCACCACACCCGGCTAATTTTGTATTTTTAGTAGAGACGGGGTTTCTCCATGTTGGTCAGGTTGGTCTTAAACTCCTGAGCTCAGGTGATCCGCCTACCTTGGCCTCCCAAAGTGATGGGATTACAGGCATGAGTGGCCTCGCCTGGCCTTCATTCTTCTACGTTACAGATGAGTAAACGGAGGCTCAGGGGGCAAAGTGACTCACCCAGGTACACACTGGTGAGGAGAGGAGATGGGCATGGTCTGCCCTGTCTCCATTACATAACGGGAAAGTTAGGGATTTGGTACTGTGGGGACAGGTCAGCTGATGCCTGCAGGCCTCATGGGGACTGCTCAGAAGGCAGCCATGAGGATCCATGCCTGGCCTGGGGTGGGACGAAGCATGAGAGAATATGGAACAGCTTTCCTGGTGTCATGACTGTCACTGTCACTCAGCAAGTGCTGTGTCCCAGGCATAAAGCACAGCAAAGCCTTGTGAACCCCCCCTTTTTTTTTTTGTTTAAAGAGACGGGGTTTCACCATGGTCTCGATCTCTTGACCTTGTGATCCACCCGCCTCGGCCTCCCAAAGTGCTGGGATTACAGGCATGAGCCACCACGCCCAGCCTGCGAACCCCCTTCTAATCCCGTCCTGCAGGTGAGGAAACTCAGGCCCCTAAGAGGGAAGTGGCCTGCCCCAGGGCTCCCAGCTGTCAGGTGGGTAAACTCAGAGAGCCACGAGGCCGTGCCAGGGCTCAGGAACCTGCTGCTTCTCGCTCTCAGCCAGGAGGAGGCCCTCGTCGCGCTCCTGCTGCAGGGCAGCGATCTCCTCACTCAGCTCTTCCTTCTCGGCCTCTAGCCGGGCCAGCAGCTCCTCCTGCTCACGCTGCAGCTGACTCTGCAGCTGGGCTCGCTCGGCCTCCAGCTCCCGCCATGCTGCCTCCTAGGGGGCCAGAACCCGGAGCACGTGATACATCAGGAGGGGCAGAGGCAGACCCCTCAAACCTTAGGGCAGTAAGAGCCATCTAGCCGCCATACTCTCAGAGATAGGGAGGGTGACCCAGTAACTAAAAGGGTGTGAGGAGGGCTGTGATGGGGACACACCAAGGCTGTAAAAGGGTCCAGGAGTAGCAGTGGGCTGGCCTGGGGGTCCGAGTGTGATCCCCTGAGGAGGGATAAGTAGCTTCAGCCAGGAAAAGAGAGAAAAGATAAAGAACCCCAGGCCAAGAGCAGAGCCCCTGGAAAGACCTAGAGGATTCAGGGTGTAGAGGGGAAATGGGATACGGTGAGCCACACGCCAGAGCCCCAGGCAGTGGCCAGGCCAGGCCAGGCCATGTGGGCCACAGGGATTCTAAGGACAGTGCAGGGAGTGGGGAGAGGACTCAAGTCAAGGTGACAAGGAGCATCTGATGTTCAGCTTAGGGGATGTTCTGACATCTGCGAAGAGGGAGCAGGGTTGGGGTGGAGGGGAGTTAGGACTGGCTGTGAGGAATGAACGGGGTCGGGGGGTGGCAGAGGAGCTGGAGAGAAGGACACAGATTTGGGGACGTTAATGAGGCCAAGCCAGGCAGAGCAAAGGGCAAGAGCAAGAGGGGGGCCATAGGAGTTTAGCTCCCTGGGGACTGGATAGGTGGGCAGGTAGAGCCCACAGGCAAAGAGCAGCCCCCCGAGGGGCTGAGGGAAGGTGCCTGACCCAGCACTTGCCCCTGGCAACTTTGTGAGAAGCAGACAGAGCTGCCTCTTCTTCTTCTTTTTTTTTTTTCTTTGAGGTGGAGCCTCGTTCTGTCGCCCAGGAGTGCAGTGATGCAGTCTTGGCTCACTGCAACCTCTGCCTCCAGGGTTCAAGCGATTCTCCTGCCTCAGCCTCCCCAGTAGCTGGGATATAGGTGTGTGCCACCACGCTTGACCAATGTTTTGTATTTTTAGTAGAGACGGGGTTTCACCATGTTAGCCAGGATGGTCTCCATTTCCTGACCTCATGATCCACCCACCTCAGCCTCCCAAAGTGCTAGGATTACAGGCGTGAGCCACCGCACCGAGCCAAGCCACCCTTTCTTAAAGAGCTTTACCATCACCTGCTGGAGAAGTGTGATAGAATCACCCAAGGCCAAGGGGACTGCAGGTGAGTGGCGTCCCCTGGAGCCACGCAGCCATAGCCTGCACCGCCGTCGGAGGCAGGCCCGTCCAGGATTTGGTGGCCCATGGTCCCTGTCCTGAGGGCCACTCTGGAGAGCTATGCCAGTGCCAGCAATAACTTATGCAGCATTTGCTAAGTGCCAGTCACTATGCTAAGCCCTTTATGCGGATGGTCTCACCTCATCCTCAGTACCTTCCACTATCCTATCCCCGTTTCTACAGGAGGGGAAATGAAGGCACAGACACCTTGGGTAGCATTACCAGTAAGTGACCAAGATTAGATTCAAACCCAGGCAATATAACCACAGAGTCAGTGTTCTAGTAACTTCCCTTGCCTTTCTATATGCTCAGGTCTAAGTGGCCCTTCATATGAAAACAGTACTTCTTAGCAAATAAATATGCTCTCCTGCTGTACCTTAGGTCAGCATTTCCCAAATGCGATTGTGGACCCTCTGCATCAGGGTTACCAGGGCTGGACCAGATTTGGGACCTGGGAATCTGCATGTCTAATAAGGTTCAAAACCTCTCCATGGCCCAGTCCTCCCAGCTGTTCTCAGGGCCTCCACAACAGAGATTAAGTCCCATTTTACAGATGTAGAGACCAAGGCAGAGCAAGAAAGATGGTGAGACAGTAGCTCAGAGTTCTGCCCACCCCTCCCCTACTGCTCAAACCTTTTCTCGCTGGAGTCGCTGTAAGTCCTCCTCATGGGCTGCCCGCTGCTCCCGCAGAGAGGCCTGGGCTTCCCGCTCAGCCTGCACCAGCTTCTGGGCCATCAGCTCCTTGTCTAGACTGGCTTTCTCTTGTGTAGCTATTATTTGCTGCCGCAGGCCCGCCAACTCCCCTGCACGAGAGGAATGGAGGAAAGGGCAGGGTTGGCTTGAATCCTCTCCTTGGGCCAGCAGACTTAGGCCATGTGAGCCACATGGGCAAAATCCCAGAGGGAGAGAGCCTGCCTGGCATCTAGGATGCATCCTCTTGAAGAAGTGGCTTGACCTCTCTGAGCCTCAGTTTCCCTATCTGCCACATGGGCCCACTGGCCCCTTTCCTGCCTACCTAGAATGGCATCAAAGGCATAAAATGACTGATGAGATGGTCTCCCAAATGGGAAGGATATCAAAGATATAATAACCCTAGGCCAAGCGCCATAGCTCATGCCTGTAATCCCAGCACTTTGGGAGGCTGGGGCGGGGGGATCACCTTAGGTCAGAAGTTCGAGACCAGCCTGGCCAACATGGTGAAACCCTGTCTCTACTAAAACTACAAAAATTAGCCAAGTATGGTGGCGGGTGTGTATAGTCTAGCTACTTTGGAGACTGAGGCAGGAGAATCGATTGAACCTGGGAGAAGTTGTAGTGAGCTGAGATTGCACCACTGCACTCCAGCCTGAGCGAGAAGAGCAAGACTCTGTCTCAAAAAAACAAAACAAAAACCCTATTACTGATTGAGCAGGGGACTCTGTCTCAAAAAAATAAAACAAAAACCCTATTACTGATTGAGCACCCAGCTAAGTATTCTAGACATAACTTCATTCTGTCTTTATAACATGCCTAGGTAGTTTATCCTCATCCCCATTTAACAGATGATGAAGTAGAGGCTCAGAGGAGACCAGCAGTGACTTCCCAAAGCTGCACAGCTACATATACAGCATCCCCTTTAATGACTGACATACACATACCTATCAAGCGTTAACTATCAGCATTAGTGGAAATGACCACAGGAAATGGAAATGGTATAGCCACGTGGACCATCTAAGAGCCATCTCCCAGGTTGGAAACGCACCAGCATTTCCCTTCCTGGTTCTGTCTGGCCCAGGTGGACATGGACAGGAAAATTAATTTCCATGACCCAAGTAGGTGCTTAGTTAATGTTAGGTGAGCAGAAAGAAGCCCTGAGTTCAGAGACTGGATGGGGAACTTTGCAGAGAGATGGGGCTGGGTTTTGGTGCAAGAGAATCATCTGAAAACCACAGAGAACTCAGACTCCCTAACAGGCCTGATGGCGGATGAACAGCAGTTACTATCGACCAAGCCAGACATCGTGCTGCGACCTTCACACGCTTTTCCTACTTCATCCTGGCAACAGGTTTAGAAGGTGGGCACTGTCACCTCTAATGATCAGATGAGGAATCTGCAGCCCAGACAGGAAAGGGGCTTGCTCAAGGGAAGAGCAGATCTAAGTGGTGGTGCAAGACTAGAACCCAGGCCAGCGAGGCTCCTACTCCAGTGCTCCCAACTTCTGTGAGACCCCAGACTTTGAAAGGTTGCAGTCTGGGCAGGAGCCTGGTGTTCCCCCCAAGTTCCCGGCCCCTCGTACCAGTCAGGGTCTCCTTGGCCAGCAGCAGGGCCTGCCCGTCGGCTTCCAGCTGCTCCTGGCGGGCCTCAAGCTGGGCTAGCTGCCGCTGCACCTCAAACAGGCTACTCTCCAGGGCTTCCTTCTCCAAGCTGCAGCACATACAGTCCCTGAGGCCCTGGGACTCAGCCTGCCTGGCCCCAGGAAACTGTGGATCTCAGGGCGTGGCCAGGCATGGGCTGGGTGCCAACCTACCTGCCTGGCCAGGCTCACCCTCCCTGGGGAAGCCTGAGCCATAGTTAGGACGTGTTGGCAAGCCAGACTCCTTAGTAACTGCCCCTGGGGGCCAATGCCTGGCCACGGTGTGGCCCCAGGAAGACCCCCCAGGGTGGGTTGGGCAAAGCCCAAGCCTTACCGCAGGCGTGTGGCCTCCTCTGACAGGGTCCTGCCTTCACGCTCTGCAGCTGCCAGCTGCACGGCCAGGCCAGAGCGCTCCTTGGCTAGTGCCTCCTTCTCCCGGGCTGCACGCTCCAGCGCCTCCGCCTGCCGCTGGGCCTCCCGCCGGGCCTGCTCCAGCTCCTGCTCCCGCCCACTCAGCTGCCGGGAAAGCTGCCCCCACCCAGAGACTGTGAGCAGTACTCCCAGCATCCCCCAGCTTGTTCATCATGCCGCACCCCAACTCTGGGCCTAACCCAGTTCTGGCAGAAGGCCTGGGTTCGAGCCCAGGGTCTGCCCTGATGTGCTATATGTACCTGGGCAAGTCATGACCTTCTCTAGATCTGCAATGCACGTGCATATGAAAATGAGGCCCGGCCAGGCACGGTGGCTCACGCCTATAATCCCAGTGCTTTGGTGGGTGGATCACTTGAGGTCAGGAGATCAAGATCAGCCTGGCCAATGTGGTGAAACCCTGTCTCTACTAAAAATACAAAAATTAGCCAGACATGGTGATGCACGCCTGTAGTCCCAGCTACTCATGAGGCTGAGGCAGAGAATAGCTTGAACTCCAGAGGTGGGGGTTGCCGTGAGCTGGGATTATGCCCTTGCAGTCCAGCCTGGGCAAGAAAGCGAGACTCTGCCTCAAAAACCAACCAAACAACAACAGCAACAAAAAGCAGGGCCCTCACTCAGCTTTGGGAAGAACAGAACCCTGAATATATAAAACAGACCCAGTAGTGCTGCTCAGCAGGCCTCAAAGTGGAGACCTGCACCCTGCTTCCTGCACCCACCACCCCATCCTCTACAGACCCCTCCCAGAAACCCAGGCGCTCCAGTATAAACACTGCATGAAGGTCCCTGGATCCCTGAAACCCTAAGGTCTCTTCCAGATGTGATGTTCCCAAAAGTCTAAGATTCCAATTCTAAAAGTCTTGACCTAATATCGTATTATTAATCTGTACTGAGTGGTGACTCAGGGCCAGACCATCCTCTGAATGTCCTTACACAAGTTTTCCCCTGTATTCTTCAGAATCTCCTTTTTTTTTTTTGAGATAGAGTTTCACTCTTGTTGCCCAGGCTGGAATGCAATGATGCAATCTCGGCTCACTACAACCTCCGCCTCCAAGGTTCAAGTGATTCTCTTGTCTCAGCCTCCAGAGTAGGTGGAATTATAGGCACCGGCCACCATGCCCAGCTATTTTTTTTAGTAGAGACAGGGTTTCACCATATTAGCCAGACTGGTCTTGAAGTCCTGACCTCAGGTGATCCACCCACCTGGGCCTTCCAAAGTGCTGGGATTACAGGCATCAGCCACCATGCCCACCAGAATCTCCTTTTGTAATAAGAATGCTTAGGCCCATGTTACAAATGGGGCAACTGAGGTATAGGGAGGTTAGGCAGCTTGTCCAAGGTTCCCAGTGAGCAGAAATGCAGCTATATTTAACCCAGAAGCAGGCTCCAGTACCTGTGGCTTAACCCAGGACTGGAGGCAGGAGGCTGGGATCACGGCCTGCCCCACATGCTCTCCACAACCCACCCCACACAGCTCGGCCCACCTGGGCTAGCTGCTCCTGCAGCCGGCTGCGCTCATGGCGCAGTGTGGGGAGCTGCTGCTCCAGCGCCTCCTGTGCCTGCTCCGCCACTCGTAGGGAGCCCTCCAGGCCCTGCCGCGCCACCTCCTGCTCCAACCTCAGCTCCTCCAGCCGCTCCTGCTCTTCCCGCGCCACTGTGGCCTCCTGCTCTGCCCGCCGCTGCCAGCCCTGCAGGGCTGCCTTTTCTTCCTCCAGCTGGGGGCCAGGTAGGAGTGGGGCCTCCTGAGCAGAGCATCCCTCCCAGGACCAGGACACCTCCTCTACCCACCCACCACCCACAGTAGCCCAGGGGAGGCTCCCAGGGAATGAGGGACAGTGGCCTTGGGTGTATGGGACACTGTGGGGGGAGATGATGAGGGCCAATCAAACTTCTATACTCTTACACAGAGAGGATAGACGGAGACAGAGAAGCAGAGACAGAAAGGGAGACAGAGGCCAAGACAGACAGGTGCAGGGCGGGGCCCAGGATGCCTCACTAAGTAGGGAGGATGGGTGGGCAGGGCAGGTGGGCTCGCAGATGCGCAGTATACCTGGGCGACAAGGCGGTTCAGATCCAACTTGTCCTGAGCGAGGCTCTCGTTGAGGGCACTCATCTTGGACAGGGAGTCCTGCAGGGAGGCCTCCTCTGCTCTCAGCTTAGTCATGGAGAGCTCGAGCTCCACGCGGCCAGCCTCAGCCTGCAGGGTCAGGCCAAAGCGGCCAGAGGTGGTGGGGCCCGGAGAGATGAGGAGAGGCAGAATGGTGGGGAGGAGGTGAGGAGGGGCAAGAAGAGACCCAGAGAGATGGACTCTCAGAGACAGGGGAGGAGAGACAAGGAAGAGACACAACGTGAGATGGAAAAAAATATCACCACAGAAAGCCTGTTGCTTATGGAGCCATTTAAAAGCCATGCACCGGCCAGGCATGGTGGCTCACGCCTGTAATCCCAGCACTTTGGGAGGCCAAGGTGGGCGGATCACCTGAGATCAAGAGTTCAAGACCAGCCTGGCCAACATGGTGAAACCCTGTCTCTACTAAAAATAAAAAAATTAGCCAGGCATGGTGGTGGGTGACTTTAATCCCAGCTACTCGGGAGGCTGAGGTGGGAGAATTGCTTGAACCCAGGAGGCAGAGATTGCAGTGAGCTGAGATCCCACCATTGCACTCCAGCCTGGGTGACAGAGCAAGACTCCACTTAAAAAAAATAAATAAAAATTTTAAAAAGCCATGTACCACAGAGCTGTGCAAAAATAGCTCAAGCTGCTGGGCAGGGCCAGAGTTCAGAGAATACCCCAAGTAGGGTCTAGGGATAGCACTGCTTAGAGCCCAGGCTGCAGCGGACAGGGCAGGCCCCTACCAAGGACTCTCTGGGCTGTGGCCCCAACTCTCAGACCCCAGGAGCTGAGTCTCAGGCACTGGATGACTCAGAGCTACAGGCACTGCTCCCAGGAGAATCTGGAAGAGCAGGGATATGGCCATAGAGAGAGGTCAGTCCACTTTTGATGGTTGGGACAAGAGGTCCAGAGGTCCGTGGCCTGCGACAAAGATCAGCCTGCATCCGGAAGGAAGGGGTCAGTCTGTGACCAGGCTCAGAGTTTGGCCTGATTTTGGGACCAGTCCAAGCCAGAGTGAGAAGGCTGGGGGCTGGGGGTCAGAGGGAGGTTTGTGGTTGTGCAGCAAACGGGGACCCACCTTGGTCAGCGCCTCGGCCACCTCGGCCTTCTCGGCCTGCAGCATGTCCCGCTGCAGTGTGGCATGACTCAGCGCCTCCCTCACCTCCACCAGCTCCTTGGCCAGGACTGAGCGCTTCCCTTCCAGCTGCTCTAGTTGCCTATGGCTGCGGGAAAGAGGGCAGGTGGTAGCCCATGTCACTCTCCTCCCCTGAACTTCCCGTAGCCAGCGGGATGCTGGGCTGGGGACCAGGTCTGAGGCAGGAGTTTGGAGAGAAAGAGCCTGACCCACAGGGCAACCAAGCCCACTATTGCATAGCTCCACAACCCTGGGCATCTGTTTTCACATCTGCAAAATGAGGTAACGCCTGCCTCATGACATGTTTTTTTGAGACAATCTTGCTGTGTCGCCCAGGCTGGAGAATAGTGGTGCGATCTCGGCTCACTGCAACCTCTGCCTCCCAGGTTCAAGGGATTCTCCTACCTCAGCCTCCCAAGTAGCTGGGATTACAGGTGCTCATCACCATGCCCCACTAATTTTTATGGTTTTAGTAGAGATGGGGTTTCCCCATGTTGGCCAGGCTGGTCTCAAATTCCTGACGTCAGGCGATTCGCCTGCCTTGGCCTTCCAAAGTGTTGGGATTACAGGCAGGAGCCACCACGCCCAGCTGTTTTAAGGATACAAACTTCACATGCACTTAAAATAGTGCCTGACACATCTCCCCAAGGACCTTTAGAAACAAGAATGATATACACCACCGCAATCTACTAAACATCATCACCCATCATGTCCCAGAGAGGTAAGCAGTGCAGTGGTGAAGAGGTTAATTCTGAAGGCAGAATGCCTGGGTTCAAATCCTGGCTCTTCTGTGACTAGTGTGTGACCTGGGGCAAGTTACATGGCTTCTCTGTGCCTCAGTTTACCATCCACAAAATGGAGATAACAACAGCTTCTACATCACAGAGCTATCATGAGAGTTAAATGAGAGAACTGAATTGCTTAAAATGGTACTTGGCACTTAACAGAATTAATAAGGATATTATTATTATCATAGCTAAATTTTTAAAATACTATCATCAGCGGGACATGGTGGCTCATGTCTGTAATCCCAGCACTTTGGGAGGACGAGGTGGACGGATCACCTGAGGTCAGGAGTTCGAGACCAGCCTGTTCAACATGGAGAAACCCCATCTCTACTAAAAATACAAAATTAGCCAGGCATGTTGGCACATGCCTGTAATCCCACCTACTTGGGAAGCTGAGGCAGGAGAATCGCTTGAATCTGGGAGGCCGAGGTTGCAGTGAGCCAAGATCGTGCCATTGCACCACAGCCTGGGCAACAAGAGCAAAACTCCATCTCAAAAAAATAATAATACTATTATTAATGTTACTACTGTTATTTTAATTATTGTTGTTATTATCATCCAAGACCTTTTACTAGTTCTGTGATCCCAGGTAAGTGACTACACCTCCTTGGGCCCCAATTTCCTGATATGGGTCTGGTTAGAAAACCCAACATCAAAGGGGTGGAGATGGTAGGAGGCCCAGGACCCAGTGGGTGCTCTCTTCCCCCCACCCCGGGGCACTGTCAGGGGACCTGAGGCACATTTGAAGGGCCCTGGCAGAGCAGCGGGATGCTGCTCACCTGCGCTCAAGCTCCCGGCGCACCCGCGCGCCATCCTGCGCCGCGTCCTCCTGCTCTTCCTCCAGCCGGTCCCGCTGGCGCCGCAGCTCCTCCTGGGTGGCCTGCAGCTTCTCCCGCTCCTGCCGCAGCTCCTCAGCCTGCTGCTGGGTCACCTGCAGGCTGTGGGTCAGGTTGCTCTTCTCCCTTCAGGACAAGGGGAGGGGGAGCAGAGGGGATGCTGGGGCTGCTCTCTGAAGGTTGCTCTCCTAGCCATGAGCTACATCCTCCCATCTTCCAAGGCACCTGCCTCCAGGAAGCCTTCCCTGACCCTGCCCATGGCTGACTCATTTCACTCACACCCTCTAGCAGAAGAATCTGGCCGTCCTCCTCCCCAGCTCGCTCACTGGGAAGCCCAGTGGAATGGATGGAGGTGCTGGCACTGTCTTCAAGCACGCTGCCTGGTAGAAGAGGCCAGGCTGGGCTCCTGGGACACATGGGCAAGTGTGCCGCCAGCTCTGCTAGGCCATGTGAGCAGGAAATGCCCCCTACAACACCCCATGCCACTCAATTCTGGGAAGCCCAACAGAGCTGAGTCTGCAGATCCCACAGCTTCCTGCTGCATAGGCACATGGTGGCCATGGCAGGGGAAGGAGAAGGCAAGAACTGGGACCCCAAAGACCTGCCACAAGCTGCCACTTTCCCCACTGGCGGTAGGTGCGAAAAAACTTCACGAGGTAATTTTTTTTTTTAGATGGAGTCTCACTCTGTCACCCAGGCTGGAGTGCAATGACATGATCTCCGTTCACTGCAACCTCCACCTCCAGGGTTCAAACGATTCTCCCACCTCAGCCTCCCGAGTAGCTGGGATTACAGGCACCCACCACCATGCCCAGCTAGTTTTTGCATTTTTAGTTAGAGATGGGGTTTCACCATGTTGGCCAGGCTGGTCTCAAACTCCTGACTTCAAGTGATCCACCTGCCTTGGCCTCCCAAAGTGCTGGGATTAGAGGCGTGAGCCACCACACCCAGCCAACAACATGCTATTAAGTAAAAATAGCAGAATACAAAATGGGATGTTCGCTGAACACAACTACTTAAAAAGATCTTTTCCTAAGCCAGGGGCGGTGGCTCACGCCTGTAATCCCAGCACTTTGGGAGGACAAGGCAGGCAGATTACCTGAGGTCGGGAGCTCGAGACCGGTCTGACCAATATGGAGAAATCCCCATCTCTACTAAAAACACAAAATTAGCCGGGTGTGGTGGCGCATGCCTGCAATCCCAGCTACTTGGATGGCTGAGGCAGGATAATCGCTTGAACCCAGTAGGCAGAGGTCTCAGCAAGCTGAGATCACACCATTGCACTCCAGCCTGAGCAACGAGAGTGAAATTCCGTCTCAAAAAATATAAAAATTAGCCGGGCGTGGTGGCGGGTGCTGGTAATCCCAGCTACCAGGGAGGCTGAGGCAGGAGAATTGCTTGAACCCAAGAGGCGGAGGTTGCAGTGAGCCAAGATCATGCCATAGCACTCCAGCCTGCGTAACAAGATTGAAACTTCATCTAAAAAAAAAAAAAAAGAAGTGGAGGACAATTTCTTGTCTTAAAAATCTTCAGTGTCTTGCCACATGGCTCACACCTATGATCCCAGCCCTTTAGGATGCTGAGGCGGGAGGATCATTTGAGCTCAGGAGTTAGAGATCAGCCTGGGCAACATGGTGAAACCCCATCTCTACAAGAAACAGAAGAAGTCGCCAGGCATGGTGGTGTGCCTGTAGTCCCAGCTACTCAGGAGGCTGAGGCAGGAGGATCACTTAAGCCTAGGAGGTGGAGGTTGCAGTGAACTAAGGTTGCACTCCCTAGCAGCCGGGACTACAGGCGCCCGCCACCGCGCCCAGCTAATTTTTGTATTTTTAGTAGAGACAGGGTTTCACCATATTGGCCAGGTTGTCTCAAACTCCTGACCTTGTGATCCACCCACTTCGGCCTCCCAAAGTGCTGGGATTACAGGCGTGAGCCACCGCGCCCCACTTTTTTTTTTCTTTTTTTTTGAGACGAAGTCTTGCTCCGTCGCCCAGCCTGGAGTGCAGTGGTGCCATCTTGGCTCATTGCAATCTCCACCTCCAGGGTTCCAGTGATTCTCCCACCTCAGCCTCCCAAGTAGCTGGGATTACAGACACATGCCACCACACCTGGCTAATGTTTGTAATTTTAGTAGAGACAGGGTTTCACCATGTTGCCCAGGCTGGTCTTGAACTTCTGACCTCACGTGATCCACCAACCTTGGCCTCCCAAAGTGTTAGGATTACAGGCATGAGCCACAGCGCCCAGCCTGAATTTTTACTTTAAAAAAATTTTTTTAGCCGGGCGCGGTGGCTCAAGCCTGTAATCCCAGCACTTTGGGAGGCCGAGGCGGGTGGATCACGAGGTCAAGAGATCGAGACCATCCTGGTCAACATGGTGAAACCCCGTCTCTACTAAAAATACAAAAAATTAGCTGGGCATGGTGGCGCGTGCCTGTAATCCCAGCTACTCAGGAGGCTGAGGCAGGAGAATTGCCTGAACCCAGGAGGCGGAGGTTGCGGTGAGCCGAGATCGCGCCATTGCACTCCAGCCTGGATCACAAGAGCGAAACTCCGACTCAAAAAAAAAAAAAAAAAAAAAAAAAAAAAAAAAAAAAATTTTTTTAGATTTTAATAGAGCCAGGCACAGTGGCTTATGCCTGTAATCCCACCACTTTGGGAGGCTAAGGTGGGAGGATCATTTGAAGCCAGGAGTTCAAGACCAGCATGGGCAACATCATGAGACCACCATCTCTACAAAAAACTTTAAAATGTTGGGGTTTGTCTGGCATCCTGGAGGCTGAGATCAGAGTTGCCCAGGAATCCAGGGAGGTGAGGGATCAGAGGGTGGTGAGGGCACAGAGAAGGGAGGGAAAACCTGACTCTCGGGCTTCATTCCCATATCCTTTCCCAGGCCAGGCCCAGGCCCTGGCCCCCAACTAGTGGCAGTTGGGAGGTAAAGGTGGGAGGATCGCTTGAGTCTGGGAGTTCCAGGCTACTGTGAGCTGTGATGGAGCCACTGAGCTCCAGCCTGGGCAACAGAGCGAGAGTGTGATTCAAAACAAAACAAAACAAAACAAAAATGAATAATAAAAAATAAATGTTTCTGGGCACATGCAGCTAGTGGCGACCATATTAGTTCAGAGCCACACGCATAAGGCTCGACTGGCGTTATGCCCAGACACTGACTTATTCTTCAGCACCCCCAGCTCAGACCTCCGCAGCACCTGCTCAGGAGCTCATTGGCGCTCCGCAGCCGCTGCACCTCGCGCTGGGCGTCTTCGTGGGCCTGCAAGGCGCCGTCGGTCTTGTCGCGCAGGCGCTGTAGCTGTTCCTCTAGGGCGCGCCGCTCCCCCTCAGTGTCGCTAAGCTGCTTCCGCAGGGTGCCCAGCAGGTCCTGACTTGCTTCATAGCGCCCCCGCATGTCCTGGGGTGTGGGGATCACAGAGTCTAGGGGAGCCCTGGGACACCTCCAGAGCCCACCTATTCTCTTCTGGTTCTAGGGATACTCATGCCTGCGCTAGGCGGGGTCCAGAACCTGGGCCTGGCCTGGGGCAGGATAGAACCCTAGGCCTGAGAGCCAGGCTTCCACTCCCCTACACTGTGCCCGCACCACCCTCTGAGCCCTCACCTCCCTGGGGTCCCTGACAACTCCGATGCCAGACAAACCCCTAGGCACACCAGTCTCCTTGGCTCTGACCCCACCTCCAGGGCTCTCAGGCTCCTCCCCCTTGCATCCTGGCTCCACCCTCAGTCTCCTCCCTACCCTGGCTCTGCCCGTAGTTCCCAAGCTCCTCTCATCCTAGGCTCTGATTCCCCTTGCTAGACCTTTTCCCAGGGTCCTGGCTCTGTATGACCAGGGACCTATCCCGCTCTACCAGGACCCTAACACTGCTCCTGCCTCCACCAGCTGCCCAAACACCTACCCCCAAGCACCCCCACTTCTGGGCTGAGATTCGCCGCAGAGCTCTCGGCCACCTCCGTGGGGGTCCTGACACCCTCAGTCACTATCTCTCCGGGCTCTGGCTGCACCCCAGGGCACTGAGACTCCTCCCCCTGACCCTGGCCCCAGACCTGCCCTTGCCTCTGCCCCAACCCGGAGTGCGTGAGCCCCTCCCCCGAGGCCTCCGGCTGAGCCCTGAACGCTCAAGCCCCTTCCTACCTGGACCTGCAGCTGGCGCTTGTGCAGAGCAGAGTGGATCAGGGCGAGCGTGGAGGAGTCTGAGAAGGCCGGGGACGGGCCTCGGCGGGGCGAACGGCCGCGGCCCGGCGAGGAGCGCCGCGGTGGGGACGGGGTCCGCTGCCCCGAGAGCCCCCGCAGGCTGCCATCGGATGCATGCGCGGTGCGCTCGGAGCCGCTCAGGTGGACGCCGCTCTCAGCATCGGACAGGACGGCCTGAGGGTAGGGGAGGGAGGTGGAAGGAGGCGAGGAGCCGCAGGGTAGGAACCGCGGGGTTAGCTGGGCAAAGACACCCAGGCAGGGCTGGGGGCCGCCTCATCCCAAACGCTCCCTGCTACAAGAAGCCTTCCTGATTTCACCTCCTTCACTAGCTCAGTCCTCAGATTGCCACTGAGGCCTCTCATTTATTGCGAAGACATCATTTGGTGTTGCTCACAGGTGGGCCGGAAAAGTGCCTCCCCTCTGAAACTGGGGGCTTCCCAGGGCAGAGGCGGGGTGACCTAGGAGGGGTGCTGAGCAGTTACAGCCTGGGTCCCAGGCCCCCACCCATTTGCAGTTCAGTCCCAGGCCGCCGGAAGGCTTGGCAGGAGGCCCGGGACTGCCTGGCAGGGCACTGTCTTCCCACCTCTCTGGGCTCACACCTGTGCCAGGTCCCTTAGGGTCTGCTGCAGCCCCTCTCCATCCTCTGTCTCCAGGGCCGCCTGCTCCTGTAGCCGCAGGGATTCCTGGAGTATGGGTAGGGAGACAGAGGGTGGTCGGGGCTCTGTCTTAGTCTGAAACCTCCCCTTCCCCTTGCTTCCTGGCCGGCCACTGACCAGGTGGCCTCTGAAGCCATGTCCATAGGCCAGCCACCTGGTAGACCCCACAGCAGGCCCCAGGCCCTCACTGAACAGACCAGGCCCAGAGAAGAGCTGTGTCCTGCCCCAGGTCACACAGACTATTGGAGGAGAGCCAGACCTAGAACCCAGGCCAGGCCATACCCTGGAGGAGTGAGTGTCCCACCGGTGGGGGCACAGCTGGCTTGCCAGAGGCAGCATCTGGACCTGGAGAGCACAGGCAGGAGTTCAAGTCCCAACTCTCCCGCTTACTGCCTCTCAGACTGGACAAGCATGTCCCCTCTTGGGCCTTAGCTTCCCCATCTGTGCCATGAGGATTATGCTGCAGGGCCGCTGAGAGGATGAAATGGGAATGGAGGAGGTGAGTGTGATTTTTTTTTTCTTTTGAGACAGAGTTTTGATCTGCCACCCAGGCTGGAGTGCAGTGGTGTGATCTTGGCTCACTGCAACTTCTGCCCCCCAGGTGCAAACAATTCTTCTGCCTCAGCCTCCTGAGTATCTGGGATTACAGGTACCCGCCACCACACCCGACTAATTTTTGTATTTTTAGTAGAGACAGGGTTTCACCATGTTGGTCAGGCTAGTCTCGAACTCCTGACCTTGTGGTCCACCCACCTTGGCCTCCCAAAGTGCTGGGATTACAAGCGCAAGCCACCACACCTAGCGGAGGTGAGTGTGTTTACCATGAAGCCTGCACACCTGTGAGGGCTGAACCTGAGTGTGATGTGGGATGCTGGGGGTGGCCCAAGGGCCCAGCCCTAAGCCTGTGTCCGTGGATCTGGCCGGTCCCCCATCCCGCCCTGCCACCTCTCAGGGGCAGCTGCATCTCACCAGTGCCTCAAGCTTCTCGGTGAGGTCCTTGTTGACCTGATCCTTCTCCAGATTCTGCTTCTGAAGACGCTCCACTGCCAGGGCCAGCTCTGTCACTCTGGAGTTGAGGGAGCAACAGAGGTGAATGGCGACCACCCCTGCCTCTCAAATCCCCCAGCTCTGTGTCCACCATGCTTCTCCAAACCCGAGGCAGGGACCCTAACATCCACCTCCCTGGCTGTGTGACCTCAGGCAAGTCTGTCTCCTCTCCAGGCCTCACACTTCTCATCTGTGAAATGGGAATAAGGTTCCCACCAGCTTTATTTCATGGCAAAGCACTTGAGGACGTGTCTAGGTGGCAGGAGTAATGGGCACAAGTTCTTTTTTTTTTTTTTAAAGACGGGGTTTCACCATGTTGGTCAGGCTGGTCTTGAACTCCCAACCTCAGGTGATCCGCCCATCTTGGCCTCCAAAGTGCTTGGATTACAGGTGTGAGCCACTACGCCCGGCCTTTTTTTTTTTTTTTTTGAGATGGAGTCCCACTCTGCCATCCAGACTGGAGTGCAGTGACATGATCTTAGCTCACTGCAACCTCTGCATCCTGGGTTCACGCAAGTCTCCTGCCTCAGCCTCCCTCATAGCTAGGATTATAGACACGCACCATCGCGCCTGGCTAATTCTGTATTTTTAGTAGAGATAGGGTTTCACCTGTTGCCCACACTGGTCTCAAGCTCCTGACCTCAGGTGATCCACCCACCTCAGCCTCCCAAAGTTCTGGGATTACAGGTGTGAGCCACTGCACACTGCCACAAGCTCTGTTATCAGAGGCTAAGCTGTTTATAATATACACGGGGCAAGTGCCTTTGGAACCTCAGTGGGGTCCCTGGGAAGAATAGCTGAGCTCACAGAGGAAAGCCCTGCTCCTGGTGAACACATGCTTCCTTCTCCCCAGGTCTCTAGTTTTATCTTCTCAGGAGAGCCTGCCTCGAGTGGCACCTGCCAGGCACCCACCTGGCACTGAGGTCAGCCTTGTCCAGGTCACTTTGCATCTGCTGCTGGGCCAGGTCCTTCTCACGGAGCACCTTGTTCCGTAGTTGCTCCTCCAGCTGGGCCTGCAGCAGGGCCTGCTTCTCCAGGGCTGCTTCCGCCCGGCTCTCTGCCAGCCGCAGCCCGGTGCTCAGTCCCAGGCCTGCCTCCTGGACAGCTCGTGATGTCCGGGCCAGCTCCCCTCCCAGCTGCAGCAGGTCCCTTAGGGAGAGAACACAGGATGGGGATGGAATGGGGCTGGCTCCCGACTGCAAATTAAAACTACACTGGGGCCAGGTGTGGTGGCTCACACCTATAATCCCAGCACTTTGGGAGGCCAAGGGAGGCAGATCACCTGAGTCAGGAGTTCAAGACCAGCCTGGCCAACATGGTGAAACCCCATCTCTACCAAAAATACAAAAAACTAGCCACGCGTGGTGGCACCCTCCTGTAGTCCCAGCTACTTGGGAGGCTGAGACAGGAGAATTGCTTGAACCCAGGAGGTGGAGGTTGCAGTGAGCCGAGATCATGCCACTGCACTCCAGTCTGGGTGACACAGTGAGACTCTTGTCTCAAAATAAATAAATAAATAATAAAAATAAAAGTAAACTAGGCTGGGTGCAGTGGCATGTACTTGCAGTCCCAGCTATGCAGGAAACTGAGGCAGGATTGCTTAAGCCCAGGAGTTTGAGGCCAGCCTGGGAAACACAATGAGACTCCATCTCAAAAACAAAACAGGAATAAAAAGGGAAAAAAAGCCCTATAATGGGATGCCATTTGCCCACTCTCAGATTGGGGGGAAAAAAAGGTGACATAATACACAGGGAGGGGCTCTGGGGTAACAGGCCCTCCCCTACACGGCTGGTGGGAGGGTGAGAATGACCACAACGGAGGGCACTGAGGAAGAGCTCCGAAAACGATGCATGCATACGACCTTTCCCACCAGCTCCGCCTCTAAGAAGGTATTCTACAGACAGGTATACCCCAGCACAGAGGACATGACCTGTGGACAAGGAGATTCACTGCAGCATTGCCCATGTAAAACATCCTGGTGACAACCTAAATGTCTATGAAAAGGGGACTGCTATTAAGTACATGATGGTACATCCATTCAGTGGAAAACTCTGTGGCCAAGAAAAACCAGTGGAGAAGTTCTTCCTGGCCCGAAACAGAGCCACCTCCCAGTTAGAACTATTAGGTGAAGAAAGCATCTTCAAGAACTGTGAAGACGAATTTTACCAGGCATATATACAAAAAACTGTGTGTGTGTGTGTGTGTGTGTGTGTGTGTGTGTGTGTGTGTGTGTGTGTGTG